GTGATTTGAAAGTCAGGAAAGGAAAGTGGCTGGTGTGATGAAAGCCATGTTTAGTAAAAATAAATTAACTGATGCAACCAGAGAGCTCATTTTAATGTGTGATTGTGAGACACTATTGTGGGATGGACGTAATAAATTAAAAGTTGCAGTGGTAATAATAAACAATCTGAGAAGCAGCTGTGGTAATAGGAGAAGTGATAAAAGAATGAAAATGTTGTAGAGAGGGGAGATGCTTAAATTGGTGGACTCGAGATAAGATTGAAGAGAGAATACTGAAATGGATTTGACACGTTTGTCAAATAAATGAGAGGTGACTAACAGAAGTGTTCTTAAGTGAATGAGGGTATGTCAAAGGGAGGAAGGCTAGGACAAAGTTAGGCTGACATTGTGTTTGTGAGACAAGGATTGCATCAAGTGCTTTATGAGGAGATAGTAAACATATATGTTTGTTCTGTACTGAATCCATTATTTAAATGCTTTAGGAACACATCTGGTTTTATGAAGCAGTGGAGTGTGGTGACATTTGCTTGTGATTCTTAATACTGTTCTGTGAATGATCTAATGGATCAAATATTAGTTTTAAATATAAATATATTTGTTTTGGGGGGAGCCTTTGTGACTTCCAGAAGATATATTGCTGAAATGGCTCACAACTACTAGATCACATCGGCCGTAGAATTATGTTCAGTCTTCGGGGATCTGAGGTAGAACAATTTAAACAAACAGGCTGATGCCTGTCTATTGGCTGGAGCTGTCAGTTCTTTTCCTGATGCAGTGTTGACAACAAATCTGCAGTAGGGCTCCCTGATCAACAGTAAGCTGCAGCAGGTCCCAGTACTTTTCAGGGAAGTGCCTTTCATGTACTTTGTCCTGTGTGACCTTGGCTTGTACATTGTTGGTATAGATTAGGCCTGACCTGACAAGAGTGCTTGGAGATGCATATGCTAAGGGCTACTTTTCCTGGGTGTTTGCTAGTGCTTCCCTTGCAATGACAGCCATGCTTTCTCGTGTGATTGGGAGTTTGTTCTGGTAGAGGTCTGTCCTGCTTGGGGTGGCCCTCGCTTTGTGCGAGTCAGGGAGTCTTGTTGCCCCTCTGTCTTGACCCAGGTCAAGATTGAACGTTGATTGTTTGAGGTGCTCTGGTGGCTCATGTGCTTGTTCATACGACAAGCTGTGGGGCTCCCCCCTCCCCATCTCGGGGAGGAAAAGGCTGCACGGACAAGCGCCACGGCGGTTGTTTTAGGGGAGGTCTCTCTGTTCGGTCTTCCAGTGCAATTTCTTACCAGGTCAGGTTTGTTTTGTTATGCCTACTTTTCTGGGAGCTTAACCCTGGTCGATGGCAGACATGGAATGCTCCCAAACACACTGGGGTTTCCATAAGCCATTGCTTCCTTTGCTTCTCTGAGGGGAAGCTAGGTTCTGGCTCGGGGTCCCCAGTAGGCAGAACTCCAATTGACTGATGCCCCAAACTAATATACAGTATATCAGTCCGATAGCTCCAGAGAACCTCCAGAGTTCACCCAGAAAATGGCATTTCAATACATTCACTGTTTTTTTTTTTCTTTCTTCCTTTCCCTTTGTTGTCGTCCTTTGGTTTCTGAGCATTTGGTAATTTCATTTCTTTTCTTGGGGTATCTCCTTGTGGCTACCTAAAACTACTATGCTGATACAGTGCCAAAGTACAAGACCATGACACGATGCAAGGTCTTGGCCTCCACAGCTCTGCATTGACTGTGTTCTTTCCTGTCTGTTCCTGTGCTCTTGGTGGCAGTGGTTATTTCCTTGCTGCTTGACTTGTGGGTCTGCTGGCTAGTTTGGCATTTTCTTTGGTTCAGTGTTGGCCCCTGGCTCTTTTAGCCACTTTTTTTTTTGTCCTTGCAACGTTGGTCTTCTGTTCCTCCTTTCGTATCTGCAGTTTATTTTCCCGGTTGGGGTTCCATACTCGTGACCTCATTCTCCTTTTTGTTAGTTCATTTGGGCTGGGGCCTCGTCTGTGGTGTGTTGGGGTATGTTTTTGGGGAAGTCAGTTGCCGGGTCTTCTGTGGTTCCCAGCCCATTCTCTGTCGAGTCAGTTTGGGCTCCCTCTCTTCAGTAGGTGACCTCCCTTTTGCTCGTGCCAGCTCTCCTTGCTTGGATTTTTTCTCCCGTTCCACATTCGTGGGAGTTTTGTTTCGCCAGTCTGCATTGTTTGGTCAGCCTTTTCCCCTTATTTGGGGGTTCTGGGTTTTCCAAATTTGTTTCCTCCTTTCACCTTTTTTGGACCACCTTGATGTGAGCTTTTCTAGTGCTGGCCTCGGCGACTTTGTTCTTTTCGTGGTCTTTTCCACCTGGTCCCAGTTCTGTTCAGGGGCTCGGTGGTCTTTGGTCTTTTGTGGTTGTCCCAGTTTTTCTTCTGGATCTAATGCCCTAATGTGGCTGCTCACTTTTATGTGGTCGGTCTCCTTCTCAGGGTGGTCTCATGCCCGTTTCCTTGGACCTCTAGGATGTAACCTGGCTCATCCATTTTTGGTCGGGGTGAGGCGTTTTGGCCTTTCCACATGTTCCCACATTTTACTCTGGTCTTTCTGGCTGGGTTTCATGTTTTGACCTGTCGATGGCTGGATGAGGTGGGCTCTCGGCCGGTCTCTATCTGCTGGCTGGGGCTTAGGTTCTCTCTGCCAGGTTCTGGTTCCGGGTGGTCTTGTTGTGCTCTGTCTATCCTTCTTTGCAGCTCCATTCTTATTGAGAAGCTCTTGTATGGGTGCTTTCAGTTGGTTCATTGTTCATTGTGAGGGGGAGGGGGGGTGGCCCCTTCCCCTCTTGCCAGCTGTGCCTCCTGTTCCTGGCCTTGTTGGGGTCTGCCTCGGGTGTCTTCCCTACTAATTGATGGTCAACTGTGCTCTGCTTCAGGCCCCTTCTCTCCATTTTCTGCGGCTTGTGTCAGTGTCTTTGACTTGTTCTTCTCTCTGTCCTGCACTGGGATTGTGGCTACTTGGAAGGTGTCACACAACTTTCAAGAGGGTGTGGTAAACCTGCTATGCGGTGACAGTTGGTCTGAGTGTGGTGCGCTCTTCTTTTTATTGCCATTGTTCTTGAGTTCCGTCTTCTGCTGATTCCTATCTCCTTGTCATGCCGTGTTGGCAGAACTGCTGAGAGTTCCATTAGGTGTTTAGCACGGTCTCTGCTCCATTTCACACCTTGGTCTGCTCTTCTGTTTCCCTTTCTTGCCCTTACTATGTTAGCTTCTGGTTTTGTTTTCAGTTGTCAGGTGGATAAGCATCTTGCAGTCCTGCATCGGGGGTTTTGTTCTTTAGGCTCATGGTGGATATTTTGTCATTGCTGCTTGCAGCTGGCTCCCTCTTTTCTGGCAGAATTTGAATTGGTTAGTTTCCAAAGGGGTTTCCTGCACTTGCTTTATTTGTTTGGCCAGAGGTGTGTCTTGTGTGGTGTTCAGTTGCAGCCTCATCACCTTTGTGCCACCAGTTCTGTCTTGGTGGGTTCTTTGTGTTATGGTTTGGTTATCTGCAGTATTTGCTATTTGTTGCAGCTATTTGCTGAAATAAAGGGAATACAGAGAAACTATACGGCATACATCGGAGCAATAAAGCACCTAAATTATTGGGATCGGAGCAAAGCTCTCCAAATGTACTCGCTAGAAAGAAAACAAGAGAGAGATCAAATAATATACACGTGGAAGATACTGGAGTGCCAGGTACCAAATCTACACAGTAAAATAACAACGTACTGGAGTGAATGATACGGAAGAAAATGCAAAATTGAACCGGTGAAAAGCAGGGGGTGCCATATGCACAATCAGAGAATACTGCTTAAACATCAGAAGTCCACGGTTGTTCAACATCCTCCCAGCGAGCATGAGAAATATTGCCGGAGCAACCGAGGACATCTTCAAGAGAGATCTAGATAATTTTCTCCAAGGAGTGCCGGACCAACTGGGCTATGGTGGATATGTGGGCCGCTGCAAGCAACAGCCTAGTGGACCAATCTCACAAGTCGAGCCTGGCCTCGGGCCAGGCTTGAGAGTAGAAGAACTCTCAAAACCCCATCAAGCAGGTATCAAGCAAGCAGTGTCATTCTCATCAGCCTGTAGTCTTCCCTCACTTTGGCTGTTCATCTTTGCTGCTTCTTGGCTGGCTTTGCGGACAAGTTCTTGGCCCCCTCTTTAGTGCAGAGGGTTGGATCTTTCGTAAGGGGTTAGAGCCCTACCTTCTCTTGCTGTGCCTGGGTTCCGGCAATCTGATATAGTTTTAGGTCCTTCTCAGTGGAATCCTCTTGGTCGGTTGTTTGTTGGACAACAACCGACCCAGACATCGGCTCGTCACCCTATTATCCCAAAATTATTTTCTCATTGGCATATCATTGTGATTTCTTTGTGATCTGAAGGACCATCCATTTTTGTGCTCTTGTGCGCTTAAATGTGGTAGTGCAAGGGTGTGATCACCATCACCCACAGGCCAGAGAGTAGGTGGGCCAATCGTAAAATCCTGGTTGGGCACCACCAGAGGGCCTCCAGAGCCTCCCAGTCAATTCAGTAGAATTCTCGGGTGGCTGTCTTATGAAATCGTGGCAAAGTAGGTGTCTGGGAATCGCCAAAATACCAGTTCTTCACCCCAAAATTATTTTTCTCATTAATGTTTTAATATATTAATGTAATGTATCACGGCATTGCAGCATTTCTTTGTAATAATTATATGTTGGTTTATTTTTATAGTAATAATTGTATACTGCTCCCCTCTTTTATCAAGGCTAAAGGTTTCGAGATTCCATGGCATGGAATATAGTGTAATAATAGTACACTTAACCCTCTCTGAACTTAAATAAAATAGAACAAGCTTTAGTTTGTTACAGCGCATGACATTTGTTCTAAAGTCACCTGCTTGAAATCCCTCCCGTCGTTCCTTCCTCTCACCACAGTGTACCAGTGAGATAAACACACACCTCACTTTAATTGTAAACCATTATTATTATTATTTATTATTTTTATTTTGTTTACCTTTCTACAGTTGAAAGCTGCTCAAGAAAAATTGATGGAATACAAAGGTCGAGTCCAAACACTGGAAGCCAGTCTAATAGACAAGGAACAGCAGATTTTGGCCACTAAGGTCGGTCATATTAATTTGCCTTATCAACTTTTCATTAAATGTCAAACAAGTAAAGAAACAAAAGTCAAGGTGGATCTAGAGAAACTGAAACCAAAAGAAGAAAGTACACTTTTGTACATGAAGTACAAAATATTGTACTTCATGTATCATGCTGAAGTGAATTTGACTTTAATTGCCTGAATACTGTACTGTGTTTAGTAACTAATTGTTACAGTTCATTCGCTTGTCAATATTCATACATTGTTAGTTTCTGATAGTGTTCATTAATTCAGATACAGTATATTAATTTTGCTTCTTTTACCCACTTATAGTTTTACTCATTCTTGTATTTCTTGGTAGGATGAAGTGAGTTTTAAAGTATAATGTGATAAATTCTCAGAGTTATCCAAGAGTAAAAAAAAAAAAAAAAAAAAAAAAAAAAATTTTTATAATCTTGTAAGTGATAACTGATGTCATTATTGTACTGAATTATTTGTATTAAAGCAGCAGTATGCATTTACAGGAGGAGGTGATGAGAGTGGAGCGGGAATCTGAAAAATCCACGAGAAGTCTCTCGGAAGAGCTTCATGCGTTTAAGGACAAATTAAGAGCCGAGAAAAAGGCTGTAGCTGATAGAATGGTGAATATTTTATATTGATTTTAACTTTTCTCAAAATACAGTTCTATATGTTATAATAATTTGCACTTAAACCATAATTATTTAACCATAATAAACCATAATAACCATAATAAGCCATAATAATCTAATTGTTTCTTTATCTGTGAAGAAAATGTCATACCAGACGGAATTGGAGAAGCTGATGATTCAGATAGAGGAAAAGGAACAAGAGAGCAAGGAAAAGGACAGGATCCAAATGAAGTACGAGTTAGCCAAGAAAAAGCTGACAGAGATTCTCACTTTCAATAATGATTTGAAAACTACAAATGATCACTATGAGAAGCAGGTAACTAAGACTGGTCAAAATTTTATTATCTTGATATCCATTGGTTTTTCTGTGGAGGGGCAGGGGGGAAGGGGGCAGGTGGCTGCCTAAAGCTTTCGTGCCGAGATTGATCCATGCAAATGGGTCACATCAGACTCTTGAGTTCTCTTTGGCTTACCTTGGCTTCAGGGAGCCACTGGGGCTCACACAGAAATTGGTGTTTCATTTCATTCAACACTGTTTTGTTTTGTTTTTTGTTTTTTATCATTTAATTATCCCCATTCTCTTTCTAGATTATAAGACATTGCATTTTTATTTTCCAAGAGGGCATGATTTGCTCTTTCTCGAGGGACAAAAGTACTGAATGTCAAATATCACCCTGTGTTTATTCATACAAATATATATTTGAGCCAAAATATGATAATTATATGTAATACATATAATTACATTTTGCCTCCAAATATATACATGGCTATCACTCATTTTCTGTTATTAAAAGTTCAGTAGTTCCCAGCATTGCCACACTAAGCATTCAGTCACTGGATGATGAAGCACCAGACATGATCCACATCATTTTACTAAGGCTCTGGATGGAAACTAAGGGACTCACTCATTTTTCCAAATATGGCAATTGATTGCTTAAGATCTCGAGTATCAAACGACATCTCTTGAATGGGTGCATCTTTTGAATAAAATGGATTACCTTAAATCATCTCGGTGATTGAAGCATATGGGTCCATCGCTCTCAAACGATTAAAGCAGTGTAAGGGTTAAATGGAAATAATTTACAGTTGTCTTGATAATCCTTAAGATTTGTAAATAAAAGTATTCAAATGAATTTGCACTTATTGGACTTGGAATTCTCATTATCTTTTTATTTTCTGATTATTTGCTTGTGTGTTTGAACATACAATAGAAAGAAACGATGTATAACCAGAACGCAGGTGTTCTGTTGTATCTAGACCTGGGAGAAGCACATTTCTCTGCAAGTAAAGCACTGCTGTAGTAGCAGTATTAGTGAGAGTAATTCTTTGTTAGTAAATTGTATGGCTGACTGAGTGACTGGTTCTCATGTGCATGTTTAAACTGTTTGTATGAATCATTTTTTGTGGTTTACTAGGAGAGATTTAATAAGATTTTCTTTTCCACATTTTTCAGGTTGCTAAATACAAGGATCATGTAAAAGGGTTAGAAACTAATCTTCAAAGGGAGCGTACTAAGCAGAATGAAATGACATCTCGAACTATGGAATTGGAGGGCAAATATCAGCCACTTAAGGAAAAGCTGCACGAATCTGAAAATGTCATCAAACGCCTTTGTAATGAGAAGAGGTCTTTAGAAGTTCAACTTAATCATGCAGATGCAAAGATGAGGGAGATGAAGAAGCAATGGGACCGTGAGAGCTTTGGGGTGAGCTTTGCAGGTTGATTGTATGTATAGTCAGTATGCTAACCCCCAACCCCCTGGCTGCAATTCTTTTACCATGTCGTAGCTCAGTTGATTAAGGCAGCGTCTGGGATGCTTTCGGGCGTAGGCTCGAATCCTCGTCACGGCCCTTGTGGATTTATTTATATTTTCAAGTACTTGTTCTATGTATTTCCAATGTGGTTTTATTTGTTTTTTTATCGTATATGATGCATATGTGTGTCCTTTACAGTATGTATAGAGTAGAACGTTCATAATGTTCCATGGAACTGTGATACATGTCTCGGTAATGTGTCCACAATAAATGTTTGTCGCAATATTACTTTGTTAAAAATTCACTAAAATTACAATATGTACAGTTTCACACACTATTTACACAGTAACACACTGTATTACACACTCAGTACTTCGGAAGTGAGTAATAATCAACGAAGTAGTCTATGGCACACAGCGCGACTTTGCTCTCGTTGCACCAGGTACAGATAGATTTTCGCTTACTGTTTCTTCGTTCTGTGTGCTTACAAATAATGCACTCACATACACCCTTGGCTTTAGTACTTGTAGGTTGTATGTAGCCAAGCTTGTAAAACATAAGGTAGTACTGTATTGAAAAGATTATAGGAAAAGATCAATTTTTAAGGTAGTCTTGAAAAGATCGCTTTGTAAGGTCCCACACAGGAAGAGATTCAACTAGCCTCAAAGAGGGTCTGTCAGTTTGGAAGAGATTCAGCTAATCTTGAAAGTATCTATAGAAAACACTACCATGGAAGCCGCTAACACTGTTCATCTATGCTACTTGCATCAGATGCATCATCACTGAACGCAGAAAATGATTCATCTATGTATCATCTAAATAAATTGGAGATAGCATACGTGGGCAAGGGTGGCGCTCAGAGCTACAACTGGTTACGCTCGCTGTATCCTCCTCATAGGTGCTGTATCACTTGCATCCGACCTTTGTGTTAGGTCCTTATTGTGCCTAGCTTCACCAATATTATGACCCTTATGTTCTTCAAACAATAAGGTTTGAATTTCACTGACAAAGCACGATCTTTCAACACTGCATCAGACAGGTGTTTGGGAGCCAGAGGCGCATGTGCCACCCATTGTTGCTCACTCAGTACTAACCCAACCAGCAGCCCTAGGGCATTCTGAGAATTTTTTCCAAGATGGCTGCCTCTCACTGGAGGTCCTAAGAATCTATTTCGTACTCAACCAACCTCTCACACATTTAGAATTGGTACAAAAAAAATAGAAAATAGTTATCTTGGTTGGTGCAGTTAAGTGGTTAACCCTTAAGCTACTAAGGGGTACTGAGAAGATTTACATCCCTGTGCGCAAGAAAAAAAAATTCTAAAAAATTATTTCGTCTTCTAAAAATGTTAATTTGTGTTCCCTGAGCACGAGAAAAATAATAAAAGAAATCATAGGTGACACATTTTGGGCGCAATAGACTGAGGAAATCTGGCAAAAAGTGGGCATTGACAGAGCAGTCGTCAGAGCTGGTCGGCGTCACCCACGCTGACAGGTGGGAGTTGCCACAAAGATATTATTACTTAATTATTTTAATGTCTTTGATTGATTTTTTCCTAGTTTTTTGCAGTAATATTATTCAATAGTGTGTATTGTAATATATTTATATAATAAAAGGGGTGAATCATTGCTATACTCAAAAGGATGGTGTACATATTAGTGATTCAATTATGTTCATAAAACAATAAACAAATAGTTTTACTGTTATTACACTATACACAGATTATATATAAGTATCTGCATGTTTTGTTCACCATAATGAACCGCTAAGTTGATATTGAGAGTCGAAAAGCAACGAGGAGTGACCGCCAGCCACTCGTTGCCACTCCCTCAACAACGCCTCACTCTCCCACTTTCTCCTCCCGCCATCCTGTTTTATATTTTATTCACAATATACAGACGTTATATATATGTATCTACATGTTTTGTTCATCACAACTGTACAACTAAGCTGATATAGTTAGTTCAGGCACTAAGAGACGTCGCTACACAGTCAGCTGGCGGCTCCCTCACTCATTCAAGGTCACACACACACCAAACTTTCTTCCCCAACAATACTGTTTGTAGTGTTATTACACTATATACACACATTATATGTAAGTATCTACATGTTGTATGCACCGTAACTTTACACCTAAGCTTGTAGAGTGCCCAAAGAGCATAGTGGCCACCCTCTACACAGCCAGACTAATCATGCAGACGACATCACCTCCGTCACCCAAATGGCTCCTCCCAACATAATCCTTTTGCTGTTATTACACTAATACACACATTATATATAAGTATCTACATTTGTGTGCACCATATTGAACCACTGAGCTGGTATGGTGAATGCAGACAATAACAGGTGGCCACACAGTCAGTAAACGATGCAATCTCCCTCCGTCCCTCGGCATCACTCCTCCCACAGCGCTAATTATTGCAACAATCCTGCTATTATCACAATCCTGGTCATTTTTATCACAGTCAAGGGTCATCTGTAATATTGTCATCACTAAATAATAGCAGTTATATATTTATTTTGACATTTTTCGGCAATGCTGTGGTCACAAGCTGAACAGCAATGCTGTTTGCTTATGCTGCATGCGCCAGCCTTGGTTGCTCCAACAGTACTGTGGCTCTTCCACCTGAGAATATTGCCCACGATTTTTTTTTTAAATGGTGTCTGTTTACAAGAGCCCTGAGGTAGCTAATGTGAACCCTGTGTAGCCACGGGCCATTTGAATCGTGCCTGGCACCCTATGGCGTATATATACGCCATGCGCAGTTTAAGGGTTAATGGCTCGGACCCAGTGAAAGCGGGAAATGAGGTAATAATTGTGCATGTGCTGTATGTAGTTCCATGAACCCTGAACCAAATCCAACAGAAGGATTTGTTCACCTAATAGCCAGAATTGCCTAACAAGTTGAATTTTCTTAAATATAAAGATATTAACACTATCGCACTCCGTTGCTGCCACCCGTGATCACTCATTTCTCTCCCTATTCTGAGCGAGTGACTATGGCTCGCGTCGTGTATTAAAATACAGTGGTACCTCGCATAACGATTGCCCCAAAAGACGAATATTTTGGGTAACGAACGGCCCGATCGGCGTCAAATCGTCCCTTATGACGAACGCTGGTTTGAGTAACGTCAACACACACATGGTGGGGTCGCGCTGCTTCTTGCACATTCTTAGACGCCTCCGACGATGCACATAAATTATGTTGTTCTTGTTTAAAGATGCTAATGATGCTGGGATATAAAAGGGTGACTACTGAGATGTTGCAAAGCATTGACGTTTTTGTAGGAAAAAAGAAATGAAATGTCTGATATACAACAAATGTCAAAAGGTTCGTTCGGTGTTCGGCAGGTAGGCTGCTCCATTATAACAATCTTTCTTTGTTTCAAATGTGTTCCATTTGTTTTTTATTTGTCATTTGCGTCTCAATAATGGAGAAGCCTACCTTACATACACTGAATAAACCATTATGACATTTTCCTTTCTTCAAATGTGTTCAATATTTATTTTTCATTTGCCTTATAGCAAAAGGTTCGTTCGGTGGTCGGCAGGTAGGCTGCTCCATGTTTCTTACGTACAAAAAACGTAAATAATAAAAAGAATGAAGAATTTTGAAAACCAGTACAAATGTCAAAAAGGTTCGTTCGGTGGTCTACAGGTCGGCTGCTCCATGTTTCTTAAAAAAAAAAAAAAAAACGAAAAATAAAAGAACTGTTGAAACAATTTGAAAAATGGACAAATGTCATAAAGGTTCGTTCAGTGTTTGTCGGGTAGGCTGCTCCATTATTGAGACGTAAGTGACAAATACAAAACAAATGGAACACATTTGAAACAAAGAAAGATTGTCATAATGGAGCAGCCTACCCAACAAAAACTGAACGAACCTTTTGCCATAACGAATATGAAAGACAAGGGCTGCTGGCTGGGTTAGTAGTGCATGAGCAACCATTTGTGGCACACGTGCCCCTGGCTCTCAAACACCTGTCCCACACGGTGTTGAAAGACTGTGCTCAGTCGGTGCAATTCAGACCCTTTTGTTTGAAGAACATAAGGGTCATAACATTGGTGAAGCTAGGCGCAATAAGGGCTTAACACAACGGTCGGATGCCAGTGATACAGCACCTATGAGGATGATACAGCGAGCGTATCCAGGTGTAGCTCTGAGCCCCACCCTTGCCATCTCTAATGTATATAGATGATACATAGATGAATCGTTTTCTGCGTTCAGTGATGATGCATCTGATACAAGTAGCATAGATTAACAGTGTTAGCGGCTTCCATGGTGGTGGTGTTCATTGATATTTTCAAGAATACCTGAATCTTTTCCTGACTGATGGACACTCTTTGAGGCTAGCTGAATCTCTTCCTGACTGATGGACACTCTTTGAGGCTAGCTGAATCTCTTCCTGTGTGGGACCTTACAAAGCGATCTTTTCAAGACTACCTTACAAATTGAGCTTTTCCTATAATCGTTTCAATACTACTTTGTGCTTTACAAGCTTGGCTACATACCACCTACAAGTACTAAAGCCAAGGGTGCACGCAAGTGCGTTATTTGCAAGCACACATAACGATGAAACAGGAAGCAAAAATCTATCTGTAGCTGGTGCAAGGAGAGCAAAGTCGCGCTGTGTACCATGGACTACTTCGTTGACTATTATGCACCTCCAAAGTACTGAGTGTGTAATACAGTGTGTTACTGTGTAAATAGTATGTGAAACTGTACATATTGTAATATTAGTGAATTATTACCACGTAATATTGTGACAATAAACATTTATTGTGGACACATTACTGACACATGTATCACAGTTTCATGGAAAATTATGAACATTCTACTGGATACATATTGTAAAGGTCACAAATATGCATCATATACGATAAATGAAACAAATAAAACCGCATTGGAAATGCATAGAAAAAATATTTGAAAATATATTTGTGGCAACACGCGGTGCTTGAATGGCCTGCGCGACCGTGTCTGGGAGCTTCACACACGGGCGACCAGTCCCTGATGACGTCACAGCGCACCTTGTCCACGCCCTCACAGCCAAAGTAAGTGGAATTTGGTAATTATTTTTACATAGACATGTTCAGGGACGGTAATTTATCATTTTACAAAGAAAAATTTTATTTTGGGGAACATTTGATGTCATGCACTCAGGGGAAATTTCACAATAAACACAGTGCATCACACTGGTTACATGGGGAGACACTCGTTTTGTATGACGTCCGTTTCACATGACGAACATGGAACGGATTAAATTCGTTATGCGAGGTACCACTGTATTTGTAAAAATGTCAATTTTTATCCGATCAACTTCTGAGTGGTTTCAAAATGAGTGCCTTTAGATTGCGCCCAATATAATACCAAAATGAAAGACGTAACACAAAACTTTGTCAGAACACTGGAAAGATATAAATAATTTTGTGGTGATGAGCGTCAAAAAGTGTCCAAAAGTTAAAATATTTGTTAAAATTCCACTTATTGTTCTTCTTTTATGGGACTAGTTTTAAAAATACACACCTTTATATTGGGAAAAATTTGATACCAAAATGAAGAACGTGACGTGAAAATTGATGTCAAAGATAATAAATACTTTTGTGGTCTTAATTTTTAAATATTTGCTAAAATTCCATTTATTGTTCTATTATATTGGGACTAGTTTTAAAATACACGCCTTTATTTTGCGAACAATTTGATACCGAAATGAAACACGTAACACGAAAATTTGTTATCAAACTGAATGAGTATGTACATTAATTTGTAGGTGTGTGCCAATTGGTGCTCGTTCACATGTAACTTGGCCAACTTTAGGCTTTGCTGTGGGGAGTCATGCCGGGCTTTTAGACTTTATATCCATATACCCCTGTAGGCAATTCTATTGCGAACACAATGATACCAAAACGAACGACGTATCATGAGAAATATGGTGAGAAAACTGAAACGAGTATACACATTTTGCTTATTTTGCTCGCTCACAGGTAACTTTGCCGACTTTAAGCTTTGCTGTGGGGAGTCACGACGGGCTATTGGACCTTATATGCATATATGCCTATAGGGAATTCTATTGCGAACACAAAGATACCAAAACGAACGACGTAACACAACAATTAAGGTGGGAAAACTGAAACGAGTATACACTTTTCGGTATCGCCTCACACTCGCCCGTACTGAGCGGAACTTGATGTCACTTCTGTGGCGCTCACAAACGGCGCGCGATAGTGTTAAGTATACCAATTATTTCTCAATGTTACCTAACATAACTTAGGTATATCAATTTAAGTTATTGTTTCATGTTACCAATATGTTAATTTTATGGATGAACTAATTTGAAAATAAATATGTGCGAAAATCTCACTAGCTGCTAGGCAAAATGGCCCATGCTTACCATTGACCAAGTAGTAATTTCTGGTTCGAACTACTAACCAAGTAATAGTTGTGGCTGTTAGACATGATTCAGCCTGGAAAGTGTGGGTTCCAACTTCCAACCTGAGATTTGCCCAATTGAGGTTCCACTGTACTGTTCTGAAGCACTTAAATTACTTCTATGGGTCTAAGAAATGATATTACCATGACATTAAAACTTCTTACTCTGTAAAATGTATACCATATTTCACACTTGATACCATGAAAATGTTTTTAGGGTCTTTATCATTACTAATATTTCCTAAAGCATTTAGCTCGGGCCTAACCCGATCAGCCAGTATGTGTCGTACCCCAGATCATTTCCCCTGCAAATTTTGTTGAGGCTTGCCTCGAGTGTCTGGCCTCCAACTTTCAACAGTCTCTCCTATAGGTTTACATATGTATATTGTATAATTATTATACATTTGATTTGTATGATTACAGGTAGTAAACACACTGGCTCCCAGCTTTACAAGAAGCAGTGTTTCAGCATCAGCAGTGAGCCATATTAGAGAGATCATTGTAACAAAACCTTCCACATCATCAACTGAGGATGAATGGGAAGTGAATGATTCCAAACAAGAGCTGTTATCTAATAGACCCTCCACAGGAACACGCAAGATGATGACGAGGGCATGCTCAGCAGATACGGTTAGTTGGTGAATGGTGAACAAATATTTATTTTTACGTTGTTTTATAGGTATTCTGGAGTAGGGATGCCACAAAGTGTGTGGTCTGTGGGATATCTGGAGAACACTTTAACTATCTTCTTTCAATTTAACAATACAGTATAGCGATACAAAGGTCGTCATTGTTTTGGGCAATTTTGTCCCACAATGGTATGCTTTAGAAAAAAAATCACTGAAGTCTAACCGACTATAAAAATCCCTCTGGCTATGTGCACAGAAATAAATAATTATGAAAACCAATTCTTTTAAAAGGATAGTTACATGAAATAAGTAAGAGAAATTCAAAAAGGAACATGAGTATTGGTCTTTCTGTGGAGAGCACCTTCGGCTCCCCAGAGCTATACTCGGCTGATGTGTGTATATTAGACCATGGCAACAATCAGTCGAAGGAGTCCTAGGCCTACCAGGGACCAGAGCCAGAACCTGGCCCCCCTCAAGAGAGGCACGAGGAGCAATGGCCTAAAAGACATTCAACGATTCTTCGCATCAGGGGGATCGTATTCCAGGGACCTGCCCGAAACGCTACGCGTACTAGTGGCTGTACAAGAATGTAACAACTCTTGTATATATCTCAAAAAAAAAAAAAAAAAGACACCCACATGTAATTGGAAGCAGCCTTTGTCTGCCATCTACCAGGTCAGGCACCTAGAATGGTAGGAATTCCAAAACAAACTATTGTTGGTCAAAAATTGCAAACCAAAAGCTGAACTAGCAAACAGAACTCCCCAATCAAAAGCAAGGAAACAAGCATGACGTCACCACAACTGCCGCGCATCCGTCTGCGCACACTCCCCCCCCTAACTCCCTGGGTGGGGGATGAAGGGGGGGTCCCAGACCTCCACTCCGGTAACTCTCCTCAGTTCAGAAGGCTGTTGTGTTGGTGACGGTCGTCAACTCTGGCTCCACTCTTTGCGCAGTGCTGTTTGTGATGATGTTGCTCTGTGTTGGTGGTGTGCGAGCCAGGAGTAACACAAGAGTACTGGGGCTGCATGCACCTAGGGCCACCATCCCTAGGTGCCCTGTAAGTTCTGCCCCTGCGGCCTAGGGTTATCTTTCCTGAGCCGTTCGGGAACTACCTCCACGAGGTTCTGTTGCTGCTCGGTGATTGCCCGCCCTTAGGGGTTCAGCTGGGGTAGTTCTTACTCCTGTGTGCCCTTGGGTAGGAGGTAGTTTTGTCACTGGCTGGGGCACGAGGTACTGTTCTGCTGTCTGATTTGCGCATTGTGACCGGTTCTGTTCACCTGAAGACGTGCTTTTGCAGGATTTTCTTTTGTTTTTTTTTTTTTTGCCTGGTGGCGTTTGCTTTGTGTGTCGGTAGGACCACTTGCATGATTTTTGAGGTCCTCCACTATTTCTGCTGAAATGGTGGAGGACTATTGGAGCCGGACAAAAGGTCCGACTCCTGCCGGACCTTTTGGGCCGCACCAACAGGCCCCCTTCATCGCTGCTTTTACTGTGGACTCTCTTCCTCTAGTGGCAGAGGGTTTGGAGGATGGCTCGGTCCCAGGTCCTGATGTGAAGGATCCTGGGGTCAGGGAGGAGTTGACTTTGAGGGGCTTGGGCCCCGTTTGATCCCATTTGGGTGTTTGTAGCCTCAGCATGGGGTTTGCTGTTATAGGGGGGAGGGTTTTTCTTGTCACCTCCCTCCCTGTACAAGTTTGTTATGAGTGCGACTCCTCCCTGGATTCGGTTCCGGGTGTGCTTGGGTTCCTCGGTTCCCTCCTTCCGAAGGTTTTCGGCTTCCTGCATCCCACAGAGGGAGGTGCTGGAGACCCTTGTGGCTTACCTCCTGTGAGATCTTTATTGCGCTTCGATTATGGACTCCTTCTTTTGAGTTTGGCTCTTCTTTTTCTTTACTGGATCCATTATGAGGTGCCGGAGTCTTCCTGGTTGACAGACTGCCCTTTCGGTTCGTTAAGGGCTTGGCATTCGTTCTGTCGGACTTGAACACTTGAATGGTGGGATTTGACTACAGTCGTTCAGGTTTTCCTGGGGGCGATTTTGAGCACCTCACTGCGTGCTTGTTTACCCCCGTGCTTCCTCGTGATATCAGCCAGATTCAGCTTCATGTACAGGTTCCCTCCCATTTGGGGTCCCTGGTGGTTGAGGATTTGTGCGCCCGTGGGCATTTGGCTTCAGTCTTGCCTTTCTTTTCTCTACTGGAGCTGTCTTCAGATTGGCTCGAGGAGAATGTGGAGGAGCTGGGTTCTGGGCCGGTGTCCTGTGTGCTTGCCACGGCAGCTCGGGCGTCGGCTGCATTGTTGAGGTTGTATGTGCCGATTCTCTGAACAGGTGTGTCTGTTCCTTGCTACTCGTCTCGTGTGCCGACAGGCAGTGCTCATCATCTTTGAAATCTGATTGGGCCCCTGGCTCTTAGATTTTCGTCCATCCAGGGAGGGGGGGCTATGGTGGTCCTGCCCGGAAGGGTCGTGCCAGGGATCGGGGTCAGCAAGGCGGACAGCCCGCCTGCTTTCATGTGTTTCAGTGTATTTCCCACTTCTAAACTTCCCTTCACCTATGCCTCTCCTTCCTCTTTACTTCCCCCGAAAAAAACCTTGGGGTTCCTTCGGTCGTTGTAAGCTAGTAGTGCCAGATTCGGGACCAGCCCCTCCTGCAGAGCCGTTGGCGCAGTGTTTACTCGGAGCGTCGGCTGGGCTCTCATAAGGGTCATTGGCCCTTTCGCGCTCGCCCCCTTGATGAGGGGAGGCTCGCGCTGTTTGCTCTTGTCTGGTCCCACGATTAGTGGAGTTTGGTAGTTCCTCTTTCTTTGGGGGGAATCTGGACTGGCAGGGCGGGCCTCTTTACCTGTGCTCTGTCAGGTCATCCTGGAGTGGGTTTGCTTGGGCATGGTTGAATCAATGGAGTCCCTCAGGTGGGTTTCCTGCCAGTTTTCAGTTCCGAATCGGATCTCGGTTTCATTATGGACGTGTTCATTCTGAACCCCTGGGTCATTTGCCCTTCCTTTCGGATGACCACTCTGTCTCAGGTTCGGCTGCTTTTGGCACCAGGTGCTTGGATGGTGTCTCTGGACCTCCGGGATGCGTATTGGCATGTTCCAATTTATCTGAGATTCAGGGACTGGCTCGGTTTTGTCGCGGGGTGACAGTTTTACCGTTTACGTTGCCTTCCATTCGGCTTGAATATGGAACCTCGTGTGTTCCTATGCCTTACCTGGGTTGTGGTGACCCCGTTTGCATCTGGTTAGGGGTTCAGGTTCTGCCTTACCTCGATGACTGGCTGATCTGGGCTCCCAGCCAGTCCGTTGTCTACTCGCCAGGTATTTGGTTCTTTCCCAGCTCGCCGGATTCTGGTTTTTGGTGAACTAGAGGAAGTCCCATTTGGTTCCTTCATAGGTTCGGACTTGGCTGGATCTTGTGTGGGACTCTTGGACCGCTTCCTTGTCTCTCCCTCCTGCATCGTTGTTGCGGGTGCGTCCCACCTATCACCGTTTTTGGAGGGCACCAGGGTCACACATTGGTTGTTCGAGCGGCGGTGCGGGAGTCTGAACTTCGCCGTGCTGGTCTGCCTGTCGGGTCGGCTCTGGTTTCTTCGAGGACGTCCCTTCCTCCGCTCTCGCGATTGCTGGGTTCGGATCCCGGGAGCCTTGCATTGGCTGCTGCATCGCTGGCCGCCTCTGCGGGTTTTTTTGAGTTCTGTGCAGTGGCACCTCCTCGAGTCCTTGCTCGATGAGCCGTCCTGGTCGTTTGGCTGGGTGGTCCCCTTTTCTCTCTTTTTTCCTTGGTTTGTGATGGGCCCCCCCTTCCCCTCAGTTCAGGACTATTTTTCTAAGGCT